AATGAATGTGAATTTATGATCTGTTCTATGTTACTGATCGTACATGAAGTTGTGATCTGTATGATATTATTGCTTCTATAATTTATTTTCATAAATTCTCCAATGGTAAGTAAAGTGATAAATGGTTTTACTTTTAATGAATGTATTAGTTTAAATTTAGTGCTTCATTTGTTATTTTTTATTTTCTACCAACCTTTGCTTCTGTACCGGTGATATAGTGTAATGTCTTTACTGAGGTAGTGTAACTCACCCCCTTATTTAACCATTTCAGATCAAGAGGACCTGGTTCACAAGCCTGATCCGTAAGAAGATTGCGAGTAGATGTTAGATACTTTATATTTTCCTTTACTTTTCTCATTTCTCGTATTTCTTTCAAAGAATTTATTCCATAATGTTAGTACTTTTAAGTTATCGTGTAAGGAATGTAAAACTTAACCTTTTATTTCGCTTCTGCATTTAAATTATTATATATTTCCTTTTGAATTTTTAGTATCGTTACAATATTTAATAAAAATAATTGTAGAAAGTGTTGACATATGATAAATAATATTTTTTTTGTGTTTATAGAAATATCTGCAAATATTAAAATAAAAAATAAAAAATTATTTATTTTTTAAAAATAAATATTAATTGAATTATTTTTGAGAATATATTTTGTAAAATATAAATTACCCTATATTAATATTAAAAATATTAAAATTTTATGTACATTTAAAAATAATGTTGCCAAATACTAATAAAATTTTAATATTTTAATAAATTAAAGTTAAAATTTCAAAAAATTTAAATTACTAAATATTAATATTTTTATTTTAAAAATAAAATATATTTATAATAAGCTTATGTGAGTATAGCTTTAAACATTATATTTTTGTATTTTATTAAAATAAAAATGTATTTTAAAAATATATAAAATCTACTTTTATAATCATATATTTAAAGATAAATTTTAATTTTGACTTTGATTAAAAATATTTTTACTTTACTTCTGTTTTAATGAATTTTAATTTGATTACTTCTATTTGATTTTGATCATTAAAGAACGGGAATTGAAATAAAAATTGTGACAAAAAACTATAGTTAGATTGTTATGATCCGGAATTGAAATAAAAACTGCAACTAAACCGTTGTGAGTGAGAAGGGACTCCATTAGAGTGCACATCAATATATTACTAGGATTAAAGTCAATAAATTTGATTTATGCTAATTGGATATTTAAAAGATCTCCTCCTTGTTCAAAACGTCACCGTTAAGCGTCTTACTCTCCTCCTCCCTCTCCCTACAGGCGGCTGCACCAGGTAAGTCGCTGTTTGTTAATCACTTTTTTCTTTCTCCGACTTCTCCCCTGCAAGCCCTATGAACAGTAGCAGCATAACGCATTGACGATCCTTCTCTCATCGGTTGGGATTTCTTTTCTCTCTCAATTGTCGGGATTCAACCTCGCCCCAATTTTATCTCCTTCCCTTGCCCAAATAACTAAAGGTTTTTGATTACTTTTTCTTCAAATACACGTATGTTAGTCCATAGATTTTGAATTTACTTTACGTTGAACTCCTGTTATTGAAGAGTATTCTTCAACACTGGATATTTCTTTCAGTGATTTTCTCTGCTTTGTTGTGCTAAATTAATCGCCTCTTAGGTGTTTTTTTTTTTTCTCTTTCTTTATTGTTTTTAGATAAAAATTTTGTTTGGCTCATATTTTAGTATTTGAAAATTTGAGATTTTCTATTGCAAATGATTATTTGGGTTTCGTAATGGGCCTTATTGTTTACTTAATTTTGCCCACTTAATAGTTGAGTATGAAAATTACGCATTTTGATTCGGGCGACTGCTTAAGTTGAGAGATAGTTGGAGTGTCTCTCCTTGAATATATGAAATTGTCTGTTGTTGTTTACTGCATTTCTAGTTAATGGTTTTCTCTTCATTTGGAGGGTTAAATTGCAGTGATTAACGATCGGTTCTAAACCTGAAGAGTGATTGTACTAAACGTAAAAATATATGAAAATTTTCTGACCGTGTAATGGCTCCCTTTTAACAAGCATCTTAACTGCCCCTTTTTGTTTCTCTCTATTTTTCCATTCAAGGTACAGTTTTATGTGGAAATGGGAATAAATCTGACTTCAGTTGTAAATTCTAATCATGTGGTGAAGCATTTGGATAGAGATGTTTGTGGTTAATGCAATTTTCCAAAGTTGGATGCGGCTAAATTAGATGCATGAAAATCAAGATGATCTATGTGATTTTGTTGACTCAGCTACAAAGTCATGGTCTTATTCACGTGGATGGATTTTCAGCTTAATTTTAAGACATTGCACGAACCTGGTAAGTGAGATATACTTGTAGTTGTGTGTAATGCTCTGTTAGAACTGGTGTTACTCTGGTCATATTGCTGCTTCTCGGAGTGTTGATCAGGCTATTACATTGCAGTTAGGCTCATTTATAAGGAATTCTCCATCTGATTCAGTTGAAGGAAGTGAAAATCACCATTTACGTTGGATGGATCCTATAGACATTAGTTCATCTGATAGTGATCTTGAGATAGAAGAGTCTATTCCCAGGGAAGGTGTTTCTGGGATTCTCCCTGCATGGGCAAGTGGGAGTAAAACAAATTCAGGTGCAGGTTGGACTTACTTTCAAATTGTCAAGGACTTTTTAGGTGTATTAGAAACTAGATTTACTGCTAATCATGGATCTGGGTTATGAAATTGCAGGTAATGGTGCTCCTTCTTGGAGGGCCCCTTCTCCTAAAGGAGTATATGCTTCTAATGGAAGCTCTTCAAATGTAAATAACCATTCACAAATGAAACAGCAGTTGCATTCTTCTCCTAATGGCGATAGAGGAGCATTAAATCAGCATTCCTGGGAAGACCCTAAGTATTTTTCTAAGAATGGGAATTTGGATCAGCCTTGGTCTGTTAATTCCCGAATTGCTAATGTTTCAGGTGCAGATTATGAGAAACTTTCATCTCAGCAGGCTTTGAAGAGGACCCTTCCGGCATCTCTTCACTCCCATATTCCAGGTCCTAAAGTGAACAATTCGGTGGGCAAGGGAAGCAGCAGTGAGATTCGTGATACCCATGAAAGTCCTTATCATTCAGCTGGGATAAGTTCAACTGAAAGTAGTTGGGTCCATGATACACATGGTAACCCTCACCACTCCCATGGGCTAGCTTCAGGCAATTTCAAGGGCTATATGAAAGATCATTACAGCTGGAATAATAATGACGACATCATGATGTATGAAAACAATAGGAGTAGGATCCTACCTCCGTCCTTGGTGCATGGGGCCTCTGCCTCATCTGCGCAAATTGTTGGCTCAGGTGATTCCATGAATCGATATGCGGCAGGCGAAGAAAGAATTTCTGGGAATGATGAGAGACTGATTTATCAAGCAGCACTGGAGGTATTACTTTGGATCATCTTCTCTTTTTATAAATTCTATAAAAAAAAATCAATCCGCAGTAACATATTGGTGCTTGATGCATTATTGCACTTTCCTCCTTCCTTTTGAACTGGGTAGCATATGAGTACTCTCTGTGGTATCTCAAGTATTATACGATACTTATTGGCAGTCAAGATATTTATAAAGTGGTGAAGCTCGAATGGCTATGGAATTGGATTTGCCAGTGAATAAAAGAGGTCTATCCTTTGCTGGTGAATTGGACATGTTAATGGACAGAATCAATGTTTACCACCTTGTATCATCATTTAAGTTATTCTTTATCTTTTTACTAAAAAATAAGTTTCTTTGGAATATACTTTTTTATGTGTATTATATGTAATGCTTGTGTTTACATGATATGTTATGTAATGGCACTTATTTGTTATATAAAGCAGGAAAAATGAGGAGAAAGCTACTATAGTTTATATTCGAAGATAGAAGACCTCCTAGTTTTAAATAAAAGCTTACTTTAATTATTTCAGATGGAATTCTAAATTTGTTTGAAACAAATAATTAAGGTTGCCTTCTTTCAGTTCATTCTACTGGATGAAACCTTCCTTTGTTTAGGAGGAGGTTGGTGAGGGGAATTGAAGTATAATAGCAGTAGTCTGTTACTACATAACCA